ATACTTTAATTTTACGATTAGGTTTGCTTTTTATGATGAAATAATCGAACTTGATAGGTAAGAACATTTTTTCTGTTTGGATCCTGCTGTATCAGAAAGGTAGGTTGGAAAACGATAGGACTCAAAGTAGCATTTTAAGGTTAGAAGCCGAACTTGTATTATTTGACTGTACTTGTGTGAGGATAGTAAGGAATCTTCGCCCCCCCAGAAAATCATCATCTGCAATGATGTTGCCTATTTACAACGGAAGCGGATAGAAATGGTCGCCGCTAAAAATAACACACTTCAACTAGTCTCAGAGGCTTCCATAGCTAGTAGTAAGACCTTTAAAATATAGAGTTAACAAGTCATGAACTCACAGAAAAACCGTATATGACCAACCTCAAGTATTTATTACTTGGGATCTGAATTAACAAACCCAGATCACAAAGATCATTTACTAACCTAATTTCTCTTTAAGGTCCCTCAAGAAGAAATATTCTTCCATGATATGGACAACTAGTAAATGACAACAACTCACATACTTCTAACGGTACTCGACATCACAATATTCATGTTAAGACTGACTGATATAAAGTTTAAAACTGAACTACAATAATTCACACTGTTACTATAATTATTTAATAGATTAGATAACTAAATTTAATATCAGTAGGGGTTTTGTGGAGATTGTAGTAATTTCAATAGTTGAGATCGTGAGTCAATTGAAGCTAGACCACAATGGAAAACCTGGGAGGGCCGGACAGCCGTTTCGTCCTACTGTGGGACTCCTCAGCAGCGCGCATCCACGATCCCGCCTCACGAGATTCGAACCAAGGACCTGTCAGCCTCGCGCCAGGCGCTTAACCAACTAGACCACTGAACTGGCCGGCATCCAATGGTGTTAATGTGTAACTTCTGATACTCATCAACATATGCTCGCTAGTAACTCGCTTCAACAGATATATCCTGGAGTTCTAGTGAGAAGCAGTAACCAGTGGAGTTCAACCGGGTCAGTTATGAGGTAGTAACTCACTGATGACAATGGTAGATGTGTCGCTCAATTTCGTGGATTAATTGAAGTTAGACAATAACACCATTGGATGCCGGCCAGCTCAGTGGTCTAGTGGTTAAGTGCTCGCGCGCGAGACCAAGTGTGGCCGGGGTTCGAATCTCGCAAGGGGCGAGGTCGTGGATGTGCACTGCTGAGGAGTCCCACAACAGGACGAAACGGCCGTTCAATGTTTCCAGGTTTTCCATGGTGATCTAGCTTCAATTGATTCATGATATCAACTATTGGAATTACTATAATATTGATTTAAACAATAGTTAACAGGAATCTATGAATCCACTTGAACTTTCATAGATACATTGTTTTCTAAGTATTATACTTATTGAGATAAGAAAAAAAATTGTGAACAATAAATATACGGATAAAAAAGAAAAAAAACTAGATCCAGTTTAACAGAGTTCAATCAGTTGGAAACAGTTTTTAAGCTATAAAGAATAAGAATAAACTTCTTGTCCAAAGAATAAAACACTTCAATATTAAAAGTTTAAAAAAAAATGTGATTTTGAAAAATTTGATATTCATTTTAGAAAGTAATCACTGTATATATATAAATGAAAAGTTATCAGGAGGTCCACTTACCGACTTAGAATACACAGATGATATAGTCCTGTTTAGTAAAGATACGCATGAAATGCACAGTCTTTTGATAACACTGAGTAACAATGCTAGAAAGTTTGGGATTCGTTTCTCCATCTCTAAATGTAAGTTGTTCATTCAGGATTGGCCTGAGTCAACACCTGAACTAAGGATAGGAGAGGATGTAAACGAACGCGTTGACAACTTTACCTATCTTGGAAGTCTGATCAGCCATAATGGGTTGGTGTCTGATGAAATCTCAACACGGATTCGAAAAGCCTGTTTGGCTTTTGCAAACTTACGTCACTTATGGAGAAGGCAAGATATCCGTCTATCAATAAAAGGACGAGCATACTGCGCAACAGTTCATTCTGTCCTAATTTGCGGCAGCGAAACGTGGCCATTAAGAGGAGAAGATATTCGTAAGTTGCTAGTATTTGATCACAGATGTCTTAGAAATATTGCTCACATCTGATAGAATCACTGGGTGAGTAATAGTGAGGTTAGACACAGGGTATTAGGAAATGATGGTAAATCAGTTGATGAGGTTGTAAACCTTCATCGGCTGAAACGGTTGGGCCACGTGTTACGTACGCCTGAACACCGATTACCACGACGTGCAATGTTGACTAGTGTTGGAGACGGTTGGAAGAAAGTTAGAGGCGGCCAAACCGAAACGTGGCATCAGTCCTTGAAGTCACTAACTTCCAGTCTGAGCCATGTTGGTAGATGCAGACTACTTGGTTGGGGTCCATGTGATATCGTAACCAATGGTTGGAGACAGTGTGTGACATGGCTCAGAATCGATCACAATGGAGTCGGTGTATATACTCTTTGTGTTCTGATAAACCGTGAGATTAAAATTATTTTACATCTTTCTTTCTACGAACTAATTATTTCTTCCTGTATTATATCCTTATATTCAATTTCCTTCTATATATTACCACCACTGAATTAACTACTTTTATGAATCCAGTGTTCATCTTGTAGTGTTAATGAGGTATGGCAACTTGGACCGATGTACATATGTGCCTGGTCCTACGTTGTATCTGACTGACTGACTAATGAAAAGTTATATGTAGTAATGAAGTTAAAATATGATTGGTCACTGAATGTAACAAAACAGGCACTTAGTCTTACTTAATTACACCTGTTAGCCCTCGTGGAGGAGCATAGACCGCCCATCGGTATTATCTATCTATTAAGCCTATGACTATTAAACAAATAATTTCCTTACCCCTCATTGATTTCTATTCTGAACTGAATATCATTGTATTGAACGAAGTATTATAATACTTCAACATTAGATATAACTAGTATTTATATGGTAATCAATTCTGGTCATGAATCCTGGATCTGATGTAACGTGACTAGTCTCATTATCGTCGTATATCTGAGACAGAAATATTTTAAACCATCAGTTATATCAACAAGAATAGTAAACATTAGTACTATATGGTTACAATGGTTGATTATTTTGTATATTGTGTTAATTTTACTCTGTTTTTTTTCGTTTACTTGTATAGTAACTAATTATTATTTGTGTAACTAACACATCGTTTTCATTCTAAAGTTAAATTCCTTACATAGATAAACATAGATTGTTTCATAAATAAGTTTTGTAATGGTAACTATTATATTATGTCCCACGGATTCGAAAACTTTTCAATTTTAGTTGTAGTTCTCTTCTTTCTTTTCATTTATGTTATTATGCTTCTGAGAAACCGTGAATAAGAATGAATTCTTATTCGGTAGTTGGAAGTAATCTCCCGACCGTTGCTGGTACTTTGACATGGTGGTCAACCTTGCCTATCGTGATGAATCAGTCGAGCTATACTGGCTAGAATAATCGTTTCTCAAGGTCCTACCATACCAGACAGGTCGGTTGAATAGCGGTAAGACTAAAAGCAGCAAAACCAAGGTCCGAGGGCGAAGTCATACTGCTTATTGTACAGAGGTCTGACGGCAGCAAAGTGTTACCTTCAGACAACCAGCATACAGCGATGTTGCCTTCCACAAGGAGGGGTAGGGTTAGGAAAGATCGGCCCTAAAATGCACATCTCGCCTTATCCCACGGATATCCGTCTCCAGCGGTAAGGTCTCAATAAGTACGGAACGAACATGAAAATTACTCACAAAAAGGTTGTGTGACCAACTTCAAGCAGTTGTCCCTCGGACAATGCGGTCACACTCTCAGATCACTGAGACCATCTTTAACGCAATTTCCTTTTCAGGTACCTCCAGAAGAACCCTTCCACGATGTGGACAACAGGGAGGATATAACTGCCCTCATACCTCTAACAGCACTGAAGATCACTGTATTTATACTCAATCTCCTTCTTCAGTTCCGATTCCCGAAAGTAATTTACGTGAATTTCAAGATCTAGATCCGTTACTGGTTGATACTCGTCATCAGTAATGTATAGATACCATCTAGAGATTTAATTTCGAGTAAAGAAACTAAGCTTATGTTGCCGTTAGAGACGTTATAAATGAACTATCCAGGTTACAACTCGGTATATCTTCTAGGATTTTCAAATTAAGTTGATAGTTATTGTCATGTTTAACCCATGATACCAATTGAACTGTATTAATAAAATTTGGAGCCCAAATGGAGCATTGGTTCCGTCAATATTGCAACCAGATAATAATCGCTGATAGCTGTCTACCAGTATAAAATACAGGAGTGGGGCTTTCTTTTGATTGCCTTCAAATAACGTAACATCAGTATCACTTATGCCTTAAGATAAATGACAGTGCGGATGTAATCAATGAACCACTGATGAATATTTTTCGGTCTCTTAATAATACTGTATGATAATGGTACTAAGATTATTCTGGAAATTAGTAATTAGGTTTGTTGTGGATGCGGAAGAATAGACCAATAATTATCATGTTAAGTCCAGTGGTGTCCTTGGACTTTAAATGTACATTCCCTATTGGCTATTATTTAATTCATTCGTTACATATTGCGTAAATGTTGTTTACTATTTTTATGGTACGATGTGGTATGCTTGACTGGTATATAAACAAAGTATGTTTGAAATATAATGATTCATATCTCCGAGGCTGTGACTTTTGTTCTCCACTCAACTGGGCTAGGACAGACAGCGGGGCAGGGCCAATCAGGGCACTAGGTCGTCCCTTACGTGTTTTCCGTGTCACTGTACTGCGATCGATCAATAAATACGCTGCTTATCAAACCCTGCAGTCTCACAACTTAAATTCATAACAATTGGCGACGGGGTGGAGAAAAATTTTGAACCTTGTAATTGGACGAGATTCAGGTTAATTGTTTCGACCAATCAGCATCCAGATTGTCACCAGCGTCCTTGAGCAACATTGGTCATTATTCCTACAGTTAATTTTCATTGCAGGTGCTGAAAAAAAAATGACTACCTTTTCCGATCGATTACAGCTTCTACTTGAGCAACAACAGCAGTGCTTCAAAAATAGCCAGTTAAATTTTTTAGAAAATTTACGCACACTGTTGGTAAATGTTCCATGTTTCGGAGGTGCAACAGAAGTTGGTAAATTCATTTCTCATCTGCAGACTGAGCTGGAAAACAACTGCAGAACATATGAAGCTGTTTATAAAAGCCTCTGTGAATCCCGGACGACCAGTGATGTAAACGAGACAGTTATTCATGGTCCGCCCAGTTGTCCAGAAATGTCAAATTCCGAAACGTTCCCTGTCGTGGGTTCAAATCCCACTGTTCCTGAAACGTGTACAGACAGTGATGTACCCAGCTCACAGGAGGATCTCTTATTAAATGCTCATAAATTAATTGCAGTACCCGCCCACAACGGAACAGGGAACAAATCGTGCGGTACACTGAATCCAGCTGTTTCAAATGGTCCTCATCATTCAACAACAGGAGATTCTGACGAATCTTATTATCTAGATCTTTTTGTACCAGAAAATGTGTTAAATGCATTAAATGATGATCAGAAATCTAATACAATTTTGATAGATGTTGATTATCGCAGTGATCAACTGTTTACAAATGAGATTTTCAACAAATCCCGTGACAATGTTCCAGAAGAATCAAACGTTGGTGACCTCATATCAAGCGACATTGTTCCCCACTATTTAATCACTTTCAGTGACTCCCCTGTTCAATCTGACAATTATGTGTTAAATAAAGTCAAATTAATTCTAACTTGGGAATATGAGGACCCAACATTATTTCGTGGGGGAGGATGAACCCAGAAAATTTCAAAATCCGGATATCAACTCCGGATCTTCAAAAAAAAGGGGAGGTGTTGTGGATGCGGAAGAATAGACCAATAATTATCATGTTAAGTCCAGTGGTGTCCTTGGACTTTAAATGTACATTCCCTATTGGCTATTATTTAATTCATTCGTTACATATTGCGTAAATGTTGTTTACTATTTTTATGGTACGATGTGGTATGCTTGATTGGTATATAAACAAAGTATGTTTGAAATATAATGATTCATATCTCCGAGGCTGTGACTTTTGTTCTCCACTCAACTGGGCTAGGACAGACAGCGGGGCAGGGCCAATCAGGGCACTAGGTCGTCCCTTACGTGTTTTCCGTGTCACTGTACTGCGATCGATCAATAAATACGCTGCTTATCAAGACCTGCAGTCACATCAGTCATAACAAGGTTCTTCAAGCATAAAAAACTGCAATATAAAACTAATTTGAATTTTCAAGAACTGTGTTGAATAGCATTTTTTTAAACATGTACATTTTTTGATCGTGGAAGAAAAAGTAATATGGCCATTATATCTGTATCATCAATTTTAGGCAAAGATCATTAATCCTCTATCCACAACTATTTTGTGTATTCTACTGATCACATTTACGAAGTCTACAGTTCAATCGGGATTAATAAATATTAAGTATCGGTTATCTACACTCTAATCTAAATTGTACTTCAACCAACATGACTTAACTGGTTACGGATACGTTCGACATATAGAATACACCGACGTAACATTTTTTCATTTAACAGATATTTACATTATTATCAAGTATTATTATTATTATTATTTTAACACATAGATATTGGTACAAGGAGGCACCAAATACATATGCGCCACACAAATCTCATTCGATATGTGTGAGGGCTGTGATACTGCCCGGGTGCCCAAACTGAAACAGGTGGTTTTCTTAGGGGGCCACACCCCGAGCCTTCGACCTGAAGGTCTGGTCCACAAGGCAGTGTAGCATCGTAAGGAGATGCAGTCCCATGGAAGCCAGTGACCAGCAATTGGTTCATACGCCTTTTGTTCACGCAGGATACTGGAGCCCATGTGCACCATTGGTTCGGGATCCGGTCAAAGCGCCGGACCTTCGTTTTCGTCCTCTCATTTTCGTAAACAACAGTAATGCCACGAGAAGGCAGTGAGTAGGACTTCCCTGGCAGAGGCTATATACGCGTGGCCATGTGAGAGCATTTGGAGAGGGAGGGTGGACTCTCCCCACTCTCGGCCGTACCAGGGCATTTGGGGGGTTATTATCAAGTGAATTACTTAATTTATTTTAAAAAGTTGAGTACCATTAAACGTAGATTATTTTAGATAAACAAAACAAAACAAAAAACAACAATCAATGAATAAATGCTCTTCTGATTGTTTACTTCAACTGTTAACAATCCATAAGACAACGAAGAATTGCTCACTTGTATTAGTATAAATACTAATAGACAAGTATAAGCAAGTCAATTTAAGAAAAAATCTAAATAATAATTAGGTTAATTGACTTATTCACCAGGTACTTAGGTATGAGTCATATTCTCAGTGAGTAAGTTTAATGATACAACCCAACTGCCTAAACTAAAGTAGGTGGGGCGGGGTTCAAACCTGGGACATAGTGGCTGAAAGTCAAACACCTTAAATACTAATTTCATTGTTTTCCTTATAACAATTTAGCTGATAATAAGTGAAACAATATTGTGGATGCTTAAAACTTTATCCATTTTTAGACGCGTCACTGGTTATTTATCATTGAAGAAGTCAATATTAAACCAAAGGTACCTAATACTTATTGATTACTTTCCAATATTCTTTTTCAACTTAATACATGTAATTATTTTATTTGAACATTTACATCATAGTAACAGCACTGAATGACATAATATTATTGATGTTGTAATTCCCAGAGAAAAATATGCCGAATCCAAGTACATTGATATAGTATGATCTTAATATGAGAATACACAAGCTATTCAACTAATGGTCATTTCGTTTTATACCATACATTAATTAAGCACTAACACGAAAATCTACACTTATAGTTCTGACTGAGGTTGAACTGAGGATAGTAGTCAATACATCTCGATATTTAAACACTTGATTTGGTGGTAAGTGTTACTCCTCATTTTATTATTGAAGAAGCGGGAAATAAAGACCAGTCTAAAATATTTTTGACGCTACATTCCATGCTAATCTTGAATGTCCCAACAAATCTCAGCACGGATTCGAAAAGCCTGTTTGGCTTTTGCAAACTTACGTCACTTATGGAGAAGGCAAGATATCCGTCTATCAATAAAAGGACGAGCATACTGCGCAACAGTTCATTCTGTTCTAATTTGCGGCAGCGAAACGTGGCCATTAAGAGGAGAAGATATTCGTAAGTTGCTAGTATTTGATCACAGATGTCTTAGAAATATTGCTCACATCTGATAGAATCACTGGGTGAGTAATAGTGAGGTTAGACACAGGGTATTAGGAAATGATGGTAAATCAGTTGATGAGGTTGTAAACCTTCATCGGCTGAAACGGTTGGGCCACGTGTTACGTACGCCTGAACACCGATTACCACGACGTGCAATGTTGACTAGTGTTGGAGACGGTTGGAAGAAAGTTAGAGGCGGCCAAACCGAAACGTGGCATCAGTCCTTGAAGTCACTAACTTCCAGTCTGAGCCATGTTGGTAGATGCAGACTACTTGGTTGGGGTCCATGTGATTATCGTAACCAATGGTTGGAGACAGTGTGTGACATGGCTCAGAATCGATCACAATGGAGTCGGTGTATATACTCTTTGTGTTCTGATAAACCGTGAGATTAAAATTATTTTACATCTTTCTTTCTACGAACTAATTATTTCTTCCTGTATTATATCCTTATATTCAATTTCCTTCTATATATTACCACCACTGAATTAACTACTTTTATGAATCCAGTGTTCATCTTGTAGTGTTAATGAGGTATGGCAACTTGGACCGATGTACATATGTGCCTGGTCCTACGTTGTAGCTGACTGACTGACTGAATCTTGAATTTAAATAGTGGTGTATAAAAATATTCCAGTGTTAGTAGATTTTCAAGGGTAGATAATTGGATAATCCAAGTGCAAAATCAGTCTTGATTCTGAGGCTGAATCATTTACCACCTGCAGAAAGATCATTTCTGATCTTCATAAAATAACCCATTGATTATTTTATACAATATACTTATTATGTTCATACATTTTGAAAAGAAAAATACTGGTTAACTAACAAATGAACTCTTAAATGAGTATTGTTTTCAGTAAGTAAATAAGAGACACTCATATCCATTTGGATTTTATCTCCTTGTAATGGCTTTGTAAAGAGCTCAGATGAGAATGTGTTTCATATAGCATCACATACTTAAAATATTGGAAATCTAAACAATGAGTCAGTGTTGTGAATAGAAATTGCAGAAATAGATAAAAACGTCTTCTTTTTTACGAGGAAACAAGGAAATATCCTAACAAGTTCTCACTTCGTTACTGAAGGTTTATGGATAGTGAATTAGTAGCCCGTAAACCAAACTGTGACTTTCTTAATGTTTAGTCAGTCATTTACACTTTTTTTTAAAGACTGCTAATCTGGGTAAAATGTAGAAATTCTAAGAAAACGTGATTATATTGCTTTTCTTCTAATATGGTATCCATAAGCTAACGGAATTATCAGCAATCTTCACTGAGTTCCTCAATGTGAAATTGGATTTCCAAGTTACTGCAAAAATTAAGCATTAAGATAAACTAGTCTTTAACCATTATTATGGGAAGTTGATTATCTAGCTAATGCATCATTTTTATTTAAATTACAGGTGATCGTATTATGAAGAACAAATGAATTGCGATCATAAACTGCTTTAAACAAACTACCATTGGATACTGAGATTGAAAATTATTGCATACTTTATATCCCATAAATTTACTGTCCCTTCTTGAATCATATTGTTTGCTCTTAATGCTATCCAATATTACTGATACTGTTACTGAATTTACTACTGTGATATACCTCGAGAAATTAACCTCACTATGCTGATGTTTCATGGCAACTGATTCACACGTGACATTAACATCAAACGTGAATGTGGGTGGGAAGTATTCCAAACTAATAGGTAATAGATACACTGATAAAAAGTAACATGAACACACAAGACATTTAAGCGAGATTGAAGCTACCTACCTTATGGAGTATATGGTCACTTTCTTGAAACCCAATCGTTACAGAGATGATAGCTGAATAATAACCTATGAGCTTCATCGTCCGCTACCCACAAATTTCAACGCAACTGCATTCTAGAGGCTGTACACGTGGGCATTAACTCACCTCACCATTAGCTGCTTAATAACGTGGTTCATTCATATAGGGATTCATGGGTCCCTCCTTTTGTTAATCTCAGTATGTCCGGATAACCAGTCCTAATCTGAGCAGCACACATGGAATTTCCATATCATGTCCGCACTGGCAGTTAAGGAGTTGCCCTGCTGAGGGAGATAGGGCCAGTGAGCGGGACCCAGGGGTTAGCTGACTAATCATGCTAGCCTTTCCCTACGATTCCCTGACATATTTACTCCTGATGACTAAAGAAACAGTACTCACCTACCTAGAAAACCCGAGTTCTTAGAAAAAATGTATTTCCTAGGCGCCACATTGGCAGCCAGTTGGAACTGAGCACGCAAACCTTCGGAGTAAGTTGTATTATATTTTAATCCCACAATTGATCGTCTAAACACATTGACAGCGTAATGACATTGTTTATGCCGTTTTGAAGTACCAGTGACGGGATGAGCCTAGGATTTCACATCAGGAACCGACAATGCACAATAAATATCACGCACAACATAAGCTAACGACAAGTGTCTCATGGCCTAGCATTGCTAAAAATTATTTCAACTGATATCAGCAAGTAACCGGAACCCATAAATGCGTGGCGTGTACTATTGCAATCTTACTGGGAGATGCAACTGCGCCAACCGCCCACATGGGAGGAACACAATGCAAGTGACTTCCTCTGATCCCATGTAATGCAATTCAACAAACCTTTGCATCCCGACACAAATAACTTTAACCTACACACTTCGCCACACCAACCCACTATAACTGATCAGACTTTCAAGATAGATAAAGTTGTCAACGCATCCGACTACCTCCCTTCCTATCCTTAGTTCAGGTGTTGACTCAGGCCAATCCTGAATGAACAACTTGCATTTAGAGGTGGAGAAATGCATCCCAAACATCCTAGCATTGCTGCTCAGTGCTACCAAAAGACTGCATTTAATCAGTGGCTTCACCAAACAGGACTATGTCATCTGCGTATTCTAAGTCGGTAAGTGGACCTCCTGGTAGGAGATCAATACCCGAGAATCCAGTCGGCGAGAATGTTATTTCTATCAATAGGTCTATGATGAAGTTAAACAAAAAGGGACAGCCTTGCCAGACACCACATGAGGTTGCGAAAACAGGTGGCAGTTCGCCATAAGCTCTGACTCGACTAGTGGTGTTCGACTAAAGAGCCTTCACAAGGTTTATGTACTTCTGAGGTACGCCTTCCAATGACAGACACTGCCACAGAATCTTGCGGTCTAGAGTCAATTGCTGCTTTATGTCAAGGATGAGCACCATTTTCGGGCGCCGATAAGCATGCCCGTGCATAGAGCCCGACGAATGATGAACATGTGCTCGGTACAGCCACGGTCAGGTCAGAAGCCAGCCTGATTTCCTCGCGCATGCAGTTAACGAGTCTTGGTTGGGCATCTGACAATTATTACGTCGTGTTCCAGATGTTAGCGAAGCCCCCCCTCTGGTTTTCGCAGGATGATTTTGACCCCTTCTTATACATTGGGCATTTATTAATTGCGACCAGTCGGATTGGATTGCAAACAAGTCCACATATTTTAGCTAAATCAGTCAACCTAATCGCTGAACCTAGACCACCATCCTCAAATACACCTGCTCTTCCTCTTCTGGATTAGCTATAGCTTTCTGGACTTCAACTGGAATCAGGAGACCAACTTCAATGTTCCATTCAGGTTGTCTTGGAATAGCAGGTAGTTGTAGTGGCTGAAGGTCAAATGAACTGCTATCTAGTGTTCCTCCCACCGTTCTGACCGTCTGAGCTGAAAGCAGATACGTGTCGTCTTTTCCGGGATAGTCTTACACACTTCGCTATAACTTGTCTCAAGTTAAACAACTACAACTCTACTCGGTATTTTATTCGGTAATACTCAATTCAAAACGCTAGATTACGTCGAATTGCTACAGAATGATAAACAGAAGCCACATACTCACACGCGCTTTCAGAATAACGAAAAGTATTTTGGGAGCGTACGTAGTATATTTGGAGTGTATGGCAAAGTTAAGGTTAGTTAAATGACGTACATATGAGAGGTAAGTAACAAAACGCTTCACAGTAAATGCAGGGTCATAAATCAGACAGCGTCAACAACTTCCCACTCCTTTTCTTCGGACTTTTCACAATCCTCAACTTTGTCATCCTGAAAAAACTCATCAAGAAAACAAACATAAGTTACCTTTTCCTTGAGTTTATTGGCTTCCTCTTCAGCTTTGGCTTTCTCGGCATCAGCAGCAGCCTTTTCAGCCTCGCGCTTTGCTTTCTCTTTGTCAAACTGTTTGTTAATGTCGAAAAGGGCTTTATCCATTTGATCTCTTGCTGAGCGCAATAAGTGGTTGTAGGTGTTTGCCTGACTTTTATATTCATGAAGTTGCTTTTGTTCGGATTTAAGGCGTGATGCTAAATCACGATTTTCTGCTCTCAACTCGTCCTCAGTATCTTTAAACGAGTTTACCTTGACCCGTGTTTTTTCTAGAAGACAAATAATACCAACATCGCTAGCCTACCTAGCTCATCCTTTATCTGGAAGAATTGGAATTCAAGCTTTTGTTTGACTGCCTCGGCTAACTCCACTCGCTTCAACATTTGTTCTGTATTTCCACCACCAAGAACAATCCTTAAACGAGGTCATAAGACATACAGAATTTACCTTGCAGGAGTTTGTGGAACTGTCATGTCGAAAAGAGCCCGGTTACCGAGTGCAAGCATCCTTGTTACCTCGATATCTTCTTTGACACTCAAGTTCATGGAAACGACGTCTTTTTCATCACCCTCGACAATATCGCTATCTGTCAAGTTATGGTACGACACGTGGTCACGTCGAGTAGCTACCCTCGCCACAAGTTTACGCATCTGTAAATAAAAAAAACGGAGCTATTAAGTAGTTCTGACAATAATGTACTCAACACTTAATCATGAACTTAAGCACTGTAACATTATCTCGGTGTCAACTGCTTAGATATTCTCATGATGATCAACACCATAAGATTGACATCGGTGAAATCCACATGAGGCTGCATAACTGGTTACAATTCAGACCGTATTTAACGCACTAGTATCGAATTAAACTAACTTAGAAATTTTGTTCTGTAATGGGAAACTGCTAACTAACCTGGGTGCGGGAGTATCGAAGACCGAGAAGGTGGAGTATTTCACACAAATCATGCTCTCGAATATACCCAGCTCGGCTCATGTCAAAGTAAGTAAACGCAAACAACAGAGCTGGGTTCACAGTACGCCTGAGGCGACGAACTTTAATCTCGTCCTGTTCGTCGCAATGACCATTCTGACTGTCATTTCTGCGTCGCTTAGAATCGGGTTCGTCGGAATCGAGACCGTTTTCGAGTCTGAAAAATAAAACTACGGATTAGTTCTGGAACGAAATCGAAGGGAAACATGAAGTATATAAAATATCTATGCCTATCCAATCATGACGCGCCAGCTATTGGACAACGACAATCTGGAAGGGCAGATCAACTAATTAATAATTGTGACCTAAATACATCTACGTTACGTAGAATATCGTCGTACTTTCCATCTTGTTCAGGTTTAATTTCCTTCTCAGGTGCATCGTGAATAGCCTTGAATATTGTGAAGGCTGCATCTCGTTGGAGCATTTCATGGAACTGTTCAGCGAACAGGGATACTTCAAAATTGTGCTCTTTTTGGTCTTCAGTATGATAGTCGAGTAGAGAGAACAAAGAAACACGATGACAATCGAAACGACCCCCCTTAGCTGACTTGTTCGGATGGATAACGATGGCTGGCTTATCACCAAGACGGTAGAGGCGTTCCAAACGCCGGCGATCTTTTTCAGATAGGTCCTTTGAATCATCCTTTGACTGCGTCGCAGACGGCGAAGAGATCTTATTCGGAGTCTGTTCGGCTGAATACAAGCAGAAAGAAGGGCGATATGAGTTTCATAACCAATTGTTTGGTTAATTATCAGAATAAAAATATCCACAGCCGTTCTTGTGGTCCTATGAACTCTTAATTATTGAGAACCAAAGCAAAAAAACAGATCCTCACTTACCTTTAATCTCCTCATCAATCTTAATGTCTTCTGGGGCGTCTGCTTTTTTTCCTCATCCAGAGCACTTTGTAAACGGGCCACTAAATTAACCTTAAGGCCTTTGGTATCTAACTTTCTAGCTGCCAATTCGTTTCGCAGGTCACTAACCTAGGAGAATTAAGTCGGAACTAATAATCTTTTACCTTGAGAGTATTTACATCTAGTTTAGAGTAGTGAGTTGGCTCCATGTCTGAGCGCGCGCTTGACTCTTCGGGTTCCTCTACACTAACATCTGCAACGCTTGTGTCACCATCTTGTTGCTCCATCATACTATCCTCTTCTACCTTCTCTACAGTTAGTTGTTTTTGCAGTATGGAGTTGTAGTACTCCTTGGTCTTAGCCCACTGTTCTTCCGAAGGAATCAAATGAGCGGCATTAGGTATAAAGAACACCACGACTTCAGGGCGTTCTGATGTTATCTCTCTTTCTTCCTCAGCCTCTGTAAAAGCTGGAGCTTTTGTGTCAGGCATACGATAATACTTGAGCTCCATGAATCTGACCCTGTAAAGTAAGCATAAATAAGTTATTTAATTCGAGTAACCATTCAGTGCAAGAAGATAAGTCTAGTCCAGTCAAGCCTTTGAACGTCCGGATAGCTGTCTTGATGAGAGTCCTTGGGTCCCCTTGGGGATCAGGTCCGTCTAAGCTTGGTGACCAAGGTCCACCAAGGGCCATAGTTTCACTTTTTGCACGACCGCCAACCAGGAAATGTATACTCTTGTCAGGCAGGACTTTACCAGCTCCATTGGCATCGTCCGCCATACGACAAGTATTTTTATATAACTCACCAAGTTGTGGGCAAGCCATCAGCATAACTCGGGCTGAATAAGAATAATCTGCATCAGGAGGGTTCAGAAGAGCTGAGTCTAGGGGTGTGGGGGGATCTACGTCCCGGTGGAAAACCTGACAAGCACGTCACAACATAATAATAGGTGAAACTTACATGATAATCTGTGCCACTTCCTAGTTGAAATGGTTCGTGCATGGGAAAAGATTCTACCCATAATGATGTGCATTCGTAAAAGTCTCCTGATATGTTGAGATGAGGGTATCGATGTCGGAGGTCAGGTAGGGACGATGAAGACACGTTGAACAACCCTTTGGGAATCTTCACTTCGTAACGTGAAAATGACGACTGGCGCTTCCCGAAAGCTCTGTGGTCTTTACGCTGGCTAGGTGGTGTATCATGGTAACGTTTCTCCGGACTTCGCCCTTTCGGCTGACCACGCTTACCACCACGGAAATCATCTCGTCGGTCTGACCGTCTGTTGTAGTTATCTTCTCGGTATCCACCGTAAAAAGGCTTAGCAACCGGGGCAGCGTTATAAGGTCTGCGATCATTTGGGGTAGGTCCGCCCATATAGAAGCCTACACCAACAACCCCAGAACCCATGTAACCACTACCGCCACCGCCTGCTCCACCATAAGGTGCTGAAAACATTTTACAAGTTAGTACGAGCAAAAAAATACGGTAAAATGAGATAAAAACACGGAACAACAATTACCATTTCGGCCCCAACGATTCGCCATTTTGGCCACAACGGAACTGACGCGTTTGTAGTATGAGGGTTAAAACACAGACAATACAGGGCTTCAATATCCAATTAAGATTTTGAAATTTTCGGATTAAGGGCAGAGGTTCAAGGAACTGTGCCGGTAAACTACTGTTTTATTTTTTACACATCAGTTTTTATTGAATATGTCAAATTCGGAATATAGAAAAACCGGATCTCATTGATATCTCAGAAACATGGTTAACGTCAGAAGCGTTTGATCATGAAACTCAGTTGGTTGGTTTTCTATCCAGTGGGGCTGATATACTAAACCGTAGGGGAGTTGGGGTTATCCTTCACCCAAAAATTACCTTAACCATATGAGCTGTTCAGACAGTGAAACATGATTCAGGGACATGTGAACTGGTGCGTTGTAGGTTGAGATGTAGACAGCAAGATATTGAATTATTTGTCGCATATCGCAGTCCAGAATGTATGATGAACGACTTTTTCCTAAGTAAACTGAAATCCGGGTGTAATAGGAGGTAATAGACTTATAGTATGCGACTTTAATAACCGTTTATAAACTGGGTAAACAGAGTAGGGTCATTAAAAATATCATTTGACTGTAATTGTTAGAAACCACAATTGCACTAGCTTTATTCCGGCACATTAGAGATCCCATCAGGTATGACATACAAAACTCGTCTTTCTTGAACTTAGTCTTCACACACGGTGATTTCGTTCAAATAACTTTCCTCCCACCACTAAGGAGAAGTGATCACGCAGTCATCTTATTCATGTTCAAGGCTGAGCTGGCCTGTCAAACAGTTGCGCTGGCCCGTCCTAACATATAGAAGGGAGACATGGGGGCGATAAACTCTGCGGCATCGGCTGAAAACCGGATAATTGACTCAGAGACATCAGTAGAAGAGGCATGGACTCAATTCAGGCAGTTATACAATCAGGTAACTCAACCATTTATACCCCAAACTTTTCCAAAGAAGAAGAAACATGGCCATCCCTGGATAGACCGAGACATTCCATATTTACTAAGTTGAAAGAAGAAATGTTGGAATGTTGGCACAACAAGTACTATGGAATGCTGCACGTCTGTAAGAAATAAGTGTATTATTGAAATCTGGGAAGCTCAGACAAAATATGGAACGCAGTTGGCACAATCTGCAATTAGGCAGTCTAAGAGGCTATTCTGTTATAAAAATTACAGAACAAGGACGCAGCATTGGATTCCCAGACTAATTATGAAAGGGGGTGGATCTAAAAAAATAGGGTATGATTAGGAAAAAGCGAAGGCTATAGCAAACTATTGCGGGGCAGTATTCACTCAGGAGTCTCTTCTAGACGAAAAACTAGACCGAAATAAAAAGTCAACAAACCATCCGCTCACCGTGGACTTTGATCGAAACGATGTACTTGAGGCTCTCAACACTTTAAACACGTAAATGTTGACAGGATCGGATGAACTACACCCCAAAATCCTGAAACATATGACACAATATTTTGCAGCTCCACTGATCGTGATATTCAATATGTCACCTAACCAAGATGTTTTGCCTACAGACTGGAAGGGTGCGATCGTCACTTCAATACATAAAACAGGACAAAGATAACTTCCATCGAACTACAGGGCTATCAGCCTCACCAGTGTTGTAGTTTAGATACCGGAAAGAATAGTCAAAAAGACCATAATGACATTCCTAGAAGCCAACAACTTGTTAAACAACGAACAACATGACTTTAGAAACGGTTTATCTTGCACAACAAATCTCCTTATTAGCGAGAGAGTGATGGTTAATGGCTCTAGACAATGGAAAATCAGTGGATGCTGTCTACAGAGACTTCACTAAAGCATCTGATCAGGTGCAAACAAATTGATTGCTCCTGAAGCTGGAAAGTCTTGGCAATGATGGACTTCTCCTAAAATGGCTTAAGAATTTCCTGGTAGGTCGAAGACAGAAAATAAGAATGCATTTCAGGTGCTCCACCTAGAAAATAGTACATAATGGAGTACCTCAAGTCTGTCCTAGGTTCTTTACTTCTCATACTGTATGTAAATGAACTCTCAAGTACAGTGAAGTCCCCAATGCTAATGCACGCTGATGATGTGAAATTCTGACAAGAAATAATAGGAGACGCAGATACATGCGCACTTCATGCTGACTTAAATATTGTGATTAGCTGGTCTAAGGAGTAGCTGATACCTATCAACGAGGCAAAGTGTGTCTACATTCACTTCGAGAATCCAAAGACAAATAGGTATAGCCTAGGGAAAAGCCCGTGCCCGTGGTCCAGTCCCACATGGATTTTGCGGTGACAGTGGCTCGTGACCTTAAGACCATGGCCCACTACCGGGACATTAAAGCTAAGGGGTTCTGATCTATATGATCCTTGAGATGGACATTCATCAAGTCAGCTACTAGCATGTTCACCACAATATACAAATCACTAATGAGGACTAATCTTGAAAACTGCGTTAAGGCTGCAAGCCCCTGTTTAAAAGGTGAGTCAGATATCCTCGAAAAAGTACAGAAGGTAACTACCTGTGCAGTCACAGAACTCTGGAGTTTACTATACAAAGAGCTGCTCGAAAAGCTGAACCCCTCTACTCTGTCCTATCGTAGATTAAAAGGTGATCTGATTTTGTTGCACAGAATGCTAAAATAGGGTTTCGGACCTAATATATCCTCTCTTTTTCTTCCCACCAGACCGGGACATCTCAGGGAACATAGCATATGGGTAGAAAAGCGAAGAGCGGACAAAATACCCATGGCATACAGGTCTTCACATTGAGTCATCAATTTATGGAACCTGTTACCCGAAGCAGTGGTGTCCGCACCTTCAATTGACTCATTCAAGACAAGAATAGACACTCAGTGAGCCTGATGGGATGAGTTTACCAGAACCTATCAGTGCAAGAGATTTAGTACGAATCCATTTGTCTTTCCTGACCTTTGGTTCAAATTACTAATATATTTCGCTGCTGTTTCCATAGCTGTTTGTATATCATTCCAAGTAGCATCTGGGTCAGCCTCGTCTTCGGAACTGCCTAAGTGTGACCTCAGTTGTTCCTGAAGTCTGCGTTTGGCTTTTTCATCATTGAGTTCACATCTAGTGGGTCTAATGTGTGAAACGCAACCTTTTCGGGTAATTTTCATGTGAGCTCCAGATCGGAATTACAAAGTTTACCATTAGTTGTAGCGAAGTGAATAGTAGTATTACAAACTGCCTGTCCGATTTCTCCACACTTAAAGTACTTAGCATGACGAAATGCACATGAATTACGTGGGTGGAATTCGCCACAGGACAAACACCTATCTGCTCATCTTCGTGACCTTCCTTGAAACTCCTCAATGAATTGTTATCTGCATAACATTGAGTACCCATTAGTTTGGAATGACGTAATGATGCAGTGGAACTCATGATGTCCTGACAAATCATTTTATGGAGGTTTCCTTCTTTACTTCATTCGAAACTTGTACACTCTATATGGTCTAGTATTAGTTCCTTGAGAGTTGCATAAGGAAGTGTAGTGGGCTTTTCTGGAAATGTCAAAGTTTTTAATAAGCTGTGTGTTTCTTTTCCAATTAATGTAAAGAAATGAATCACAATATTAACATCTTCAACATCTTCCTGGATCGTGGTCCAGGTTTCGAACCTTCCTATATAATCCTCAAAAGCATCAGAATTCGAATGCATGTCCAACTGTTCCATCACAGGCTCCATAGTGACGCCAATGTGATGGTTTGAAGTATTTGAATTGTATTACAAACTAGGAATCCTAGAAATAATTCAATTGGGACCAAAGAGAAATACTTGAGCAAAAATGAACGTATTGTATTTGGAATTTCTAAATCAGGTAGTAAGTAAGTACAAAAGAATTCTTAGTTCATACAAACAACACAGTTTACCAAGTTTTACGTCTGCCTGATCTCAATTTTAACTACCATTGGGTTAGAAACCACAAAATGAGGAATCAAAATTTTTTGATATGTCTATATGTACAATGTTTCGATGAAAAACACCGAAAAGAGCAACGTATTTGCGTCAGGCATCCGTAACATGTCATTTTTTGATGAATAGTGAAACGTATCCCATCCAATAACTATCAAGTCTAGACATTATACACCTCAAAACCTCTACCCGTAAGTCGTACATATATTTCTATCCAACCATCATCGACTTCTGGTCTAACTGAATTCACTATTATTCCGTTAAAAGAGATTTGGACAACAGCATATTCAAACCCTGAGTATTCGATATCTCTTTGGTAGTATTACGAATTACTCGTGTCGTAATCAAGCAGTAAAACTTCGACGAGATGCGAAAATTAGAACTGATTACGTCCAAATTCAAAGTTAGGAGTGTATTAAAATATAATCACAAGCCGAGGCAAATAGTAGAAGGTCCAAATTATAAACTAGATAGAGTAACTACCTACCAAAGTTGAATATTTGGATGCTAGTACATCTCAGTTTTATGTTCTTTATGGGATTATCGACAGCACAGGTAGTCATGTAAAAGGTTCATTAACCACGAAATAATAAATGTAAGCTAGCATAACTTTTTCCTAAACACTTAATATTGGGTCGGTCAGTAAACACTTTCGTCTAGGAACTGAAATTACACCGGTAGACACTTCAAGAAAGAACACTAGTCAACCGAATTAATGTAGAGGAGGATAACATGTCAGGCTCACATAGGCTAGTCTAGCTTATGGACAGACCAGTTTATTCACTATTTTCAAGCCAAATTATGGTGTTATCAGTTATTCGCTCACTAATTCTCAACTATTCTCATATTAACGCGTGTTAATTGCTCACTCTATTTATCCTGTGTCTGTGACTTATTTTTGTTTGAATATATATATTGAGTCATATTCGGTCAAAACGAGTTGGCTTACTCGCCTTCACCGCTGCGCCTCACTTTGTTTCGATTCGTTCCACTTCGCTTAGTTGTCTATGCCGATTAATGAGTGTACGTATTGAATATTCGTTTTCGTATTTGGCCTATTCTATT